GTTTCACGTCAGAGTGCCTGAGTTCAATTCCTGGTCCTGGCTCCTGCCCCAGCTTTCTGCTAATGGTGCAAGTAAGTGCATTCTTGCCATCCATAAAGAAGACCTGGAATGCGATCCTCGCTCCTAGCACTCAGGTCCTACCTATTAGGAACCTCTGGGGGAGGAGGAACGGGAGACAGGGACAGGAAGGGAGGGAAACCAGTAGATGCAAGATCTCTGTCTCTGTGTCACTCAAATTATTTTTTTTAATTCATGTCTCCTTAGTAACTGGTCTCTTAGAGTTCCCTCTTGTGTTTGCATGCAGGCAAGCACAGCAAACTGGCTGGGGGAAGGGAAGTGGTTCACAGCAGAGTATGCTCTGGGCAGAACTGCACCTGTAATGCTGTTTGCTGGCCATCCTGTACTTCATGTACTCACTTTGTGTCTCTGTAGAAGCCGGGATTGAGTCATTAACGGCCTCTGAGTGAGGGGATAAATCTGGAAAAATTACTAAGGCCTCGGGGAAGGTTGCTGACACACAATCAAAGCTGGTACTGATGATGCTCTGAATTGTGAAGACGGATTGACTTCAACCTTTGCTGCAATTAGAGGCAGGCACCCAACTCTGTCAAGAAGAGATGGGCAAGGCAGAAGGCACAGGTTCAATCAAACCACTTACCCAGCTTTACCACAGGAAATAATCATCTATGAACTGGTTTTATGTGGTTCTATTTCTCACAAGGGTCTTCCTCACTGGCATTACAGTAAACATTTTAAAAGGACTCTGGATCAAGAGGTAGAGGTGCGTGTCCTGGTGTATTCTCAAGTCACTAATGAGCTGGAGCCTGTGCACACTCATTCAACTTCTCTGGGTTTCCTCTTGGAAACTGAGGGATCCAACTAGATGACACTATTATCCTTCCCATTGTGAAATGTGGACCCTAATTCCTGAGATTTCATCAAGTTTTTCTTTTCTCTTTTTCATATGACAGGCAGAGTGGACAGTGAGAGAGAGAGATAGAGAAAGGTCTTCCTTTGCCGTTGGTTCACCCTCCAATGGCCGCCGTCGGCGCACTGCGCTGATCCGATGGTGGGAGCCAGGTGCTTCTCCTGGTCTCCCATGGGGTGCAGGGCCCAAGCACTTGGGCCATCCTCCACTGCACTCTTGGGCCACAGCAGAGAGCTGGCCTGGAAGAGGGGCAGCCGGGACAGAATCCGGTGCCCCGACCGGGACTAGAACCCAGTGTGCCGGCGCCTCAAGGCGGAGGATTAGCCTAGTGAGCCAAGGCGCCGGCTCAAATTTCATCAAGTTTTAAAGCTAAAACTAGGTAATTTAGCACTTAACTTTATTGAGCCAAAGATCTTCCAAAAGGAAAGATCTTTTCTCTTTATTTCACAAATGATATCCACATGATGGGCAGCTCCTCCTGAGCAGGACCCACAACTGACCCATTTTTATATCCTCAAATGGCCGGAGGATTGAGACAAATAAGCATTATTTAATGAGTGAATAAATTTATGTTGACCATGTCTCTAACTTCCTTGCAACAGATATTCTTCCAGATCATGAGTTTTCCAAACTTTTTTTATAAAGGGCCACACACTAAACATTTTAGCCTTGACAGATTAGATGGTCTCTGTCCCATCTATTCAATTCTGTTGTTATAGTGTAAAAGCAGTCATGGACAATATGTAAAGGAATAAGCGTGACTGTGTTTCAATAAAACTTTATTTAGAAAAACAGGCAGCAGGCTGCAATCATCTTGTGGACTATGGTTTGCCAACTCAGCTATATAAACAAATTTAACATATTAATTTGTTCATGTACATTTTAATGCAAGTATTACTTGAAATAATTTCTTTGAGCAGAACCCTAGTCAAAATTCCAAGAAAGACAACAAGAAAAACTGTAAGATAATACATCACGCCTGGTAAATCTGGAGCTTTGGCTATTTCCACCTAATTCTCTCTAAAGACCTCTAAAAGCCTCAGTTTAATTGTAGGGCTTAGTTTTTAATCCATACAGTAAGTTGGTTAAAATACACAATCCAAAGCTAGAGAACTCCATGATCTTGGTAACTGCTGGTTCTTCAGACAAGGATGCGCACTTTCACCATTGCTATTTAGTACATTCCTAGAAGTTTCAGCCAGAGCCACCAGGCAAGAAAAAGAAATCAAACGGATACAAATTGGAAAGGAGGAAATCAAACTATCCCTAATTGCAGATGACAATGATTCTACATATACGGGATCCAAAAGACTCCACTGAGAGACCACTGGAACTCACAAAAGGGTTTGGCAAAGTGGCAGGATATAAAATCAACACATAAAAATCAATAGTTTTTGTATATTCAGACAATGTCATGGTTGAGAAAGAACTTTTAAGATCAGTCCCATTCACAATAGCTCCAAAAAGAATTAAATATCCTGGAATAAATTTAATCAAGGGTGTCAAAGATCTCTACAATGAAAATTGCAAGACACTAAAGAAAGAAATAGAAGACATTTAAAAAAGGAAAGATCGTCCATGTTCATGGATTGAAAGAATCAACATCATCAAAATATCCATACTACTAAAAGCAATTTACAGATTCAACACAACCCCAATCAAAATACCAAAGACATTCTTCACAAATATAGGAAAAATGATACTAAAATTCATATGGAAACACAAGAGACCCTGAATAGCTAAAGCAATCTTATACAACAAAAACAAAACCAAAGGCATCACAATATCTAATTTCAAGATATACCACAGGGCAATTATAATCAAAACAGCCTGGTACTGTCAAAAAACAGACTTGTAGACTAATAGAAAAGAATAAAAACTCCAGAAATCAATCCATGTACCTACAACCAACTTATCTTTGACAAAGAAGCTAAAAAGAATCTCTGGAGCAAGAATAGTCTAACAAATGATTCTGGGGAAACTGGATCTCCACATGCAGAAGTATGAAATTAGACCCCTACCTTACACCTTTCACAAAAATCCACTCAAAGTGGATCAAAGAGCTAAATCTAGGACCTGATACCATCAAATCATTAAAGAACATTGGGGAAACTCTGCAAGACATTGGCATAGGCAAAGACTTCTTGGAAAAAACCCCAGAAGCATAGGCAAGCAAAACCAAAATTGACAAATGGGATTACATCAAGCTGAGAAGCTTACGCACTGCAAAAGAAACACTTAGCAAAATGAAGAGGCAACTGACAGAATGGAATCAAATATTTGCAAAACTATACAACTGATGGGTTAACTTCCAGAATCTATAAAGAGCTCAAAGAATTCAACAACAACAAAACAAACATTTCAGCTAAGAAATGGCCAAAGGACTTGAACAGGCATTTTTCAAGAAAGGAAATTCAACTGACCAACAGAAACTTGAGAAAATGCTCAGGATCACTAGCCATCAGGGAATGCAAATCAAAACCACAATCAGTTTTCACCTCACCCCTGTCAGAATGGCTCCCATACAGAAATCAACAAACGACAAAGGCTGGTGAGGATGTGGGGGAAAGGGGACCCTGGTCCACTGTTGGTAGGAATGTAAACTGGTGCAGCCACTGTGGAAGACAGTATGGAGATACCTCAGAAATTTGAATGTAGACCTACCATATGATCCAGCTATCCCACTAAGAATTTACCCAAACCAAAAAATAGGCGTATAAAAGAGTTATCTGTACCCCCATGTTCATTGCAGCACAATTCACAATAGCTAAGATATATAATCAACCCAGATGTCTATCAACTGTTGACTGCATAAAGAAAACATGGTATATATATACTATGCAGTACTACTCAGCTGTAAAAAAAAAAAAAATGAAATCCTATATTTTGCAACAAGATTGATGCAACTGGAAGCCATCACACTTAGTGAAATAAGCCAGTCCCAAAAAGACAGCTATCATTCATTTTCCGTGATGGGAAGTAACTATTAGAGTGCCTGAAATGTAATATACTAGAGTGAAATAGACATTTCAGGATTCAATGATTGTTTACAGCCCATGTCTCTTCCATTAAGGAACAGTGCTGTTTTTGGTTTTTTTTTTTCCCCTCTTCATACTATTTGTTGAATTTTTTTTTACTTAGTGTAGGGTTAACTGTATGATCATTAGGTAAACTGAAAATAGATCTTTATAAAAATTAAGAGTGGGAATGTGAAAGGGGGGAGGAGGAGGAAGGCTTGGAGTGTGGGCAGGAAGGAGGGTAGTTACTATGTCCTAAATCTGTATATGTGAAATACATGAAACTTTGTATAACTTAAATAAAATGAAAAAAACAAAGAACTGTTGGCTCCAAGTTAAATGTTTCTATTCCAAGTAGGAATTTCACCTAGAAAGTAACATTCATAATTTCTAGTCCACAGAAGAAAAAATTAGGAGCATGCCAAGAAGTAAAAAAGTATAAGCTATCAGAATAAATTAACACATAATCTAATTATCAAAAAAACATACACGAATCAAAATGGTTTAATATCTGAAAACTAGTTCCAGTATCATCTTAATTTAGTTGATAATGAACATGAAAAGCCAGTAGCAAATATAAGTTAATTTACCTAGGCAGGAGAGTGATATTAAAAAGACACTCAGATCATTAAAAAAAAAATCCTACAAAATAGAGGTTGTAAGATTTGATTTTAAATGTCACAATTTGTGATTAAAGGGGGAAAAAAATCTTACTTCTGACTTCACATTCCAAGCTTAAGGGCTAACAGTTAAATCACTGAACTCCCTCACATATTTACACTTAAAAATCTGAAGCTTTTAACTTTAAAAGTTAAAGACCAGGCAGTATATAATAAACGAGATAGCATTCATTAGATGTAATGGTGACTTCATAATATTTCCATTTTTATAGTAACTCTTCAAATCAAAATTTGGGATACAGAGTAAAAACTCTCCACTGTTAACAAACAACTTTCAAGGAATTACTAGGTCAATTAAAATTCTATAATGCATCACTATCCACATTTATGAAACCCACAGAACTAGTTAACAGTTTTTGTTCATCATAAACTTACCAAACATTTGGCAAATTCTTTGTTTTCTGAAAGGAATCCATAACCTGGATGTACCTTAGGATTTTAAACAGAAAGTACTTTCAATTTTATCATATTGCAAATCTTTTATAAACATCATACAGAATGCTTTGATGTATTTACTCTAAGTACTCTATAAAGTAAGTATTCTTGCACACTGATCACCTCTAATTCCCTCTTCTGGGTACAGTGTCAAATTCCAGAAAACTGTCTGTAATACTCACTTTACACACACTGTCTTTGTCCTAGCCACAATCAAGGCCATAGACCTGTGTATCTTCCAGCCCAACTGCATTTGTTGGCATTATTCAACACATGCTCCCCCTGACCCTAACTTTTTCTGAGGCTAACTTTGACCTCAAGTTTGTAGAATTTCTCAATGGCTAATGGGTCAAATAATTACGTAAAAGGAACCTCTGGAAAGGGGGACAAAAATCTCTAAATTTCCCCTTTCTTTACCGTACCAGGAACTGCTATGTTCCAAAACCCAGGCTATTACGCAAACATATTTCATTCCCAAGGGCGTTAATAAACTCAACCACTACAAATGAGCTCTTTCTGTGCCACTGAACTAAAACAGAGACTTAGTTTTACTTTGACTTCGTACTCTGGATTTTTCCTTCTAGTGTCTACCCTTCTTGCCCTCCTCACTCCAAATGTAGCCATTCACAACTACTTCAGGCTCTCCACAGTGCTAGAAGCCGAGTTTCACAGTCCTGTTCCATTCAAGGAAGTCTCAACTCTGCCATACTAGCCAAAACAATTTAGCTATTCCAGTATTAGTCAGTGTTGAACATATTTCTAGTAAAACAATCTTGCTAAAATGAAAGTCAAATTTTTGAAAGAGCCAATATCATAATCCAGAAATAGCTCCATGTAAGAGATTTTTAAATGCTGGACTGAGCTTTCTGAATACCGTTCAGAATTTAAATTACTTCATCATAGGACAAGGGTTTCATTCCATCGATTTCATTTTATATAAACATTGAACTAAAGACTGTATTTTGACAAGCCACAGTTAAAAGGTTAAAAGAGTTTTCCTTCATTAACTGTACTAATAAACTGTAAACATCTATAATATTGGTTCATGAATTCCGGTTTTTTATTTCAACATTCATCTTACTAAAAGATTTCTTTCAAAAGAAACGTGAGCACTAATTGAAGCACTCCAGGCTAACTGCCAGTGTTGGCTGCTTCCACCCAATTTTAGAGATAACTCCATGTAGCTTTTAAGCATTATATGTAATTAGTTCTCTGATATTCAAAAAAAAAAAAAAAAAACACTCTTCCAGATGTCAAAAACTGTTTTTATCCTAGGATTCTCCTTCATTCAAACAAAATACCAGGTAAAGAGAACTAATCACTTAATCATGTAAGTTATGGCCATTTTACTGATACTAACAAACTAAAATAATTACCAATGCACTGTTTTTATTTCTGAAAATGTATCTAGGTACACATAATTTTTAAATGACTGAAACAGAATGTAAACAGGGTCTGCTGAATTTTTGTAACAGAATTTTTTTTTAATGTGCATATTACACTGAAGGGGTTAATACTCAAAACTAATTGGGATTTCTTTTTTTCTTAGTAAATTTGGAAATGAACTGAAACTACTCCCTGGTGTGAAAGCTGAATCCAGCAGCCACCTGCAGGATCAGCGACCGACACTGCCAGATGCTACAAAGCCTTTGATTTCCAGTAGCGAATTCGGCCACATTTAACTCATGTGACATGAACTAACTGCAACAGCATTTTCAATCATTCTTTCTTATTTTTTTTTTAATACAAACTCTAGCTTTCTGCTCACTACATATGAAACAGCTGCAGCAGATAGATTCATTCAGACTCACAGCTTGGGCCCTGGTTTTCTTAATGGCTTCCATGATGGCATCCATGTTGAGGTAGCTTTTACTGGTGGGAGCTGGGCCAACACAGACGGCCTCATCCGCCATTTTCACGTGAACCTGAAGAGACAAATCTCTGCATTAACAGATGCTCCCAGCAAAAAGAATCCCCATCATCTCCAAATACACACAAAACTGCAAATCAGACTGACTTATCATTTTTAGAGTGCGATTTTTCTTTCAAACATGCTCTAAAAACAACAAAGCAACATAAACTCAGGAACTGTATTACCCACGACTTCATTTATTAAGCCTAATTCTTATGTCTAATCAAATGATTTCCATAATATCCCACACTTACTTAAGTAAAATCACAGCAAACAACTTCAGCTTCCTATTCTGTTCATCTGCACATAAATCTGTTATCAGAAACTATCTTGTTCCATGTAGCCAGAGTTGCCCAATATTTTACTAACAAGCAGTCATGCCTAGTTCTAAGCAAGCTCCCCAGGAAGTTGGGATAATTAGAGGGACTGAATGGAGGGATGCAGCGAGTGTCCCTGCACAGCATCAGGTCAGCACCAGGCACAAATTAAAGCCCAGTACTAAAGAGTTCAATATCACAACACATGAACCAGAAAATCTTGAGAATCATTTAAATACTCTCACATTCGATCCTTGCCCATTTCACATTTATTCCTAAAAGAGCTGGTATGTGTATTTAGTTCTAAATCTACTCAAAATTCAGGAATGTATGTTCCATTTTAAAACTACTTTATAATGTTTTAAATCTATTCTTGCTGAAAAAAAAAAAAAAAAAAAAAAAAAACAAAAAACAACAAAGGCTAGGCATTCAACGTGGAAAGAGTAAGTTCCCTAGTTCTAAAAGGAACTTATTGTTTTTAAATGATGAAAGGATTAGTGTATTGTTAAAAAGCTCTTCCTAACAGTTTAGAAAACTCTGGATCATTTTAGAATTATTTTATAAGAAGGATACATAAAAGTGGAGGAGAAACACATACCTGAACATGTGTAGCTTTTCCCTCTCACAAAAACATTCTTAAGAGAGCAAATACTCAAGTATATCTAAGTTATAGTCCTCAGTTGTGAAGAAATTTTGAAAAAAAATACTGTTTTAAATGAAATCTTAAAAACAAAACGAAAAAGCAACCTCGTAGAAAGCTCAAGTTTTTATTATCAATTCAATAAATATTTTCCAATGAAATAAAAAATCATATTGTATATTGAAAGGAGAAAAATATATACTCAAGGAATTTATAGTTCAGTATTTTAATACAAATACTCAAACATCTCTACTCTTCAATTCCTTCAGCAATCTAAATCGCAAGGAAAGGCAGCCAGGCTCACACAGCTCCTCCAACCTTCCCCGTCCCAAGCCCAGCTCTGTCCCTTGCCTGGTGGATTCCAGCCTCAGGTTGCTCTGCTGCCCTAGATCAGGATGCCCCTTCTCTACCATTCTCTGTCCATACAATTTGTTGTGCTGACTGTGGCTTTGTCTTTTTGTTTTGCCTTTCTGTAGGAAAGAAATTGAATACTTAATGATCCCTTAAAAAGAACACATTAGCCAGGTGTGGATAAAGTCTTCATTTAAGGTTATAGCCACATTTATCCTGTATTTTTTATTTCCCTCAGGTATAACCTATTATTAAAGATGCACTTAAAGTTCCACTTCTACCACTGGGTCATTCCCAGCACTTCAGCTTGGGATGAATCTCCTTTAATCTGAACTCTGAGAGTACTTAGAGCGAATTTTGGCATTTAATCACATCCTACTCAGCCATTTGGTTTTAACTGCTTTACAGACTAAGTCTGCTACAATTTACAGACTCTTCTCCACCAGGTCACAAGGTTCCAGACAGCACAGACTATGCCTTAAACTCTTTCTTTCACTCTCCCTAACAAAACGGTATGTGCTAAAAGCTTATTCACTCATAGACATATTTGGATGGTAATTTATATAATAACTTCCATTACTAAATGTTAAAGCTATTGTCTAGAGGTTGAAAAAAATTACTTCAAATCACTTTCTTTGAGGTAAAAATCTACACCTAAATCAAGTCTTCTGAATCTCAGCAATACCTGTGCCAAATGACAGTTGTTCTGGAGGAAAAGAAATTACAAGACACACATGTGAGTGTTTACATGTCCAAAATTGTATAACGCACATGCATCAAAATATAAAAAATGTGGATTTCAATAGTATCTTGACATTTTTACTCCCAGTCTTTCCTCTAAAAACAATTTTATAACAATAGTATATACTCAAAAAAATGCTAATACTCAAAAAAATTCATGGAAAACTGAATTACAGGGTAAGCTTAGGGAGCACCTAGCCTAGTGGATAGGATACCCACATCACATACTAGAGTGCTTGGGTTCCGTTCCTGGTTCTGACTCCTGACTCCAGTTTCCCACTAATGCAGAGCTCAGGAGGCAGCTCAAATGCAGAGCCCAGTGATGACTCAAATAACTGGCTTCCTGTTATTCATGCGGGAGACCTGGACTGAGTTCCTGGTACCTGATTCCAGGCTGAGCCAAGCTCTAGGCGTTGCAGACATTTGAGGAGTGAGCCAGCAGGTGAGAGTACTCTCAATCTCTCTCCTCCCCTCTTTCTTAGATACATAAGAAACATTTATTTTTAAAAAAAAAGTTTATTGTGGTGCAAAACATTTTGAAATCCATGCACAATTATTCCATAATAGGCATTTTCCATAGACTGAAAAACTCTCATATATAAAATTATATCCTTTTGTTTAATTTTTCTTTAAGATCCATCTTATTTATTTATGTTTGAAAGGCAGAATGGCAGAGAGGGAGAGAGAGAAAGAGATCTTCCATCCACTGGTTCAAATGGCTACAACAGTTAGGGCTTGGGCCATGCCAAAGCCAGGAGCCAAAAACTGCATCTGGGTCTCCCACGTGGGTGCAGAGACCAAAGTACTTGGGCCAACATCCACTGCCTTCTCAGGTGCATTAGCAGGGAACTGGATCAGAAGTGAGGTAGCCAGAACTCAAATCAGTGTTCCAGTATGGGATGACAAGTATTGCAAACAGCAGCTTAACCTGTAATGCCACAATGCTGATGTCCTTGCTTCATTATCTTAATAAACATTTTTCTTATAGTATCATAAACTCTTTGTAAACATATTAAGAACTAGCTCAGAGTCTACCATTTTAGTAAGTAAATAATACTGTTCTAGTAAGTAAGTTATACACCAAAGATAGGTCAGAACTGCTTACAAACTTTACAGAGAAGGGCTAAACACTCATTGTTTCTCAAGGATGGTTTCTTCTACAGGATGACTTCAGACAGCTCATGGGAAACGATTGGGGCAGCTATTGTGGTAGAATGAGTTATATACAGCCTCCTGGGACACGAGCATCCCCTATCCAGAAAGCCTACCAATTCAGCTTCTTGCTAACTGTGCACCCCAGGAGACAGAAGAAGGTGGCTCAAGTACTTCTATCCCCACCAGGCACATGGGAGATCCGGAGGAGTTCCAGGTTCCTGGCTTCAACCTGACCCAGTCCTGGCTGTTGTGGGCATCTGTGAAATGAGCCAGCAGATGGCAGATATATTTTTCTTCTCTGTGTGTCATTCTGCCTTTCAAATAAATAAAACTTAAAAAAAAAAAAAAAAAAAACTATGGGTAGCTTTCAAACATTCTTTTGCCCAAAATACTTATCTTTGAATTCCATTTTCAAACAAACTTTTTAAATTACCCTCGTATTTCTCAGAAACAAATCATACTGCCAGAGGAAGAGTAAATGCACGTCTCAGCAGGACCACAGGGTGCCTAGGGTCAGTACCAGCAAAAATTCTGGGTAAAGCATTTCCTTTATATCACAGTTCTCAAGGAGACACTGAGGAGTCCACCTGGAAAGGATAGTTCAAAAACCCTTTGAAACTCAAATTCCAATTTTCTTGTTATTGTTGTACTAAATGGGTATAGTGCTTTATTGGGTTTAATGACAGAAAACAAAAGCAGCACAGATGCTGTTCTGAGGAATGAATAAATATTGTTCAAGCTGACTAGTTATACTTAAGCTTCAAAAACCCAATGCTTAAAAATACAAATTATTTTTGCTATATTTTAATACTCAATGAAAAACATAACAATCATGCAAAGTCCAAGCTGAGGTAAACTCAACAATTAAGTAGGATTTTCTGGCTCTGCTTCAAAAAGAAAGATATTTTAAGCACTAATACTAAGCAATGCAGTCTCCATAAACTTTTCCGTTCTCAGAAAATGCATAGCGGTCTCTGAAGCAGATTATTAGTTTCTGCAAGCATTTACGGTTTTATATCTTGAACTTTTTTATTTTTTAGAGGAAAATTACTTGTATCAGCCTGTGATTTTTCCAAATAATGAGCTAGCAGAACAAAGGCTGTTTTTCAACTTATAGGTCTGAAAAAATCATCTTTCTTACTGACCTTTTAAAAGTAATTATAAAAGTGCAGATTTGGATAGGTTAAAATTGTGTCTGAATTTTAAAACTTTGAATATTAATAGAAAATTTCATATTTATCAAATATGCTCAAAATATTACACTTTTTCCTTATCCTTCTCAAATACATTGCATTTTCATGCTAAAAAGTACTAGGCCAGAGGGAGGCATTTGGCCTAATGGTTATCAGTTAAGACACCTGCAACCCATGTGGCAGTGCCTGGGCTGGAATCCTGGCTCCACGTAGGATTCTGGCTTTCTGATAATGTGCACCCTGGGAGGCAACAGTGATGGCTCAGGTTCTTGGGTTCCTTCTACCCACAGGAGAGACCCAATGTCACAACCTCAGCCTGGACTCCAGGCCTTTGGGGAGTGAGCCAGCAGACGGCAGTTCTACGACTCTCCTCTGTCCGGCACTCTGTTTCTGTCTCAGTATGTGTCTTTCTCTCCCCAGGTCTCTTTCAAATAAATAAAAAAGTTAATGGAAATGCATATTACTAAAGAAAATAAATGATGTGTGGGTTTTAACTTTTTGGCACCAAAATAAACACATATTTTAATTCCGTTTCTTCACAGACTTTGTGGAGTACTTTCATAGACACAGAACCCAATGGTCTGAATGAAAGCTTTCCAACTCCTTCTTATGTAGC